CTTCTCTATCCCACAATTAAAGAACTATCTCACAGTGTGAAGAATTTCTAGTGAGAAGAAAGCTATCTTGTTGGATGAATAGATGCTATCATCCATTAGTAATCTAACATTATCCTAATATTAGTGTGGATTTAAATGTAAGCCACAGCACTTAATGCTTGTATTAACGGTTTTGCACAGAAATGGCAAACAAAAGGCATACATGAAAAGGGGTCCTGAGGTGCATTGTCTTAAATAATTATTTTCTTTTAATTTTTCTTCAGTCAGACTGAGTTTTAATGCACAGGAAAGTAAGGAGTAAGTCACACACTTTGAAGTCCTTGTTTAGCAATGGTTCAATGAGAGTTTTGCCTGAGGTTAGGACCTAACTCCCTAAGGATTTGGTCTAAGAGAATTGGCAAGAGGCATAGTTCAGGGACATAAGGTGGAAGCTTTCCTACACTGTCCTGCCAATGCACCATATGCCTTACTTGCATGAGGAGAATTGCAGATGTTGTCTCTCTCTGAGCAAGGACTAGCTGACAGTGTCTGTATGGGAATTTAGTGACATGCATGTCTTTCTATATACACTAAGTTAGAGTGTGATGTGAATGAGGTATGTTGATTGTAGATACATGAAGATCATGTCATGATCTGGGACCCTGATGCAGGATCTGGGCCTAAAGCTGTCTCTGAATTTCCTTTCAACTTTATCCCCTATCTCATTGATATGTGCATTCATTTATTTTTCATTTGGTTTTTCAGACTGTCTCTAGTTTAAAGAGAGCTATCATTCACACAAAACTATTTTTATCGACCAGTAATGATAAGGAAAAATAATATTATATTTTAATGGAACTTTAGTGAAATAAATCTGCTGCTGTATCGTTGGGATTTATGGGATTTATTAAAAGTTTGAAAAGATGAAGTGAGAACAAATGTCACTAAAACAGAATCATCACTCTCTACCCTCCACCACACTGCAGTGAAAGTGCATTTGAGTTTAGATTAAATCCATCGCTGTCTTTGGGAGGAAAGTGTATAGTTGTGAATAGAGCTGTGCAAATAACTGATTTTTCAGTTCAGTGGCAGTTCCAAAAAATAATAAAATAAAAAATGTTTTGTTCAACCCAAAACAAAATGGTTTGATTTCTAGTTCTAAAGTGTTTTTTTAAAATAAAGAAAAATTCAAAATAAAAGTATAAGAGTTGAAAAAATACAATATTTTATTTTGCAAATGCCAATGTTTCTATTTTTACAGAACCTTGTTTTGGATTTTTTCCAGTCAAAACAATTCAGTGAATTTGACATAAATTTACAAAATGTTTTGGTTGACTTGAGTCTTCATTTTTTTCAGAAAAAAATTTGTTTGAAAAATTTCACCTCGCTCTAGTTATGAATACTTCCATAATAGTAGAAGAAACACCTTTAACATGACATCTCTTGGTGTGGTAGTTAGTTGCGTTGGTAAAACATCCCCCTGTATTCTAGGAAATCTTGTTCTTCAGTCTATAAATCTGCTTTTACGTTAGTAGAGTAAAGACTGACTCCTCTGCCAAAAAAGCATATTCTTTCTTGTTTTGGTCCATCTCTCTGGATTGCCGGCTTGACTGTTGGGTTCAGATTCTATAACACCTTAAAATGACACTCTTTTTTCATATACATTCTTACTATTTGCTTGGCTTTCGGCAAGTTTATCCCCATCCAGAAAATGAGAGAACATTTGTACTAATGTCAAATCTGTCAGTGAGAAAAGAAATATAAGGGGAGCTTGAGTGCACCAAGTCCTGTTATTCACTGAAGATGTTTATTTTATTAAGGTCATTGTGCAAAATTCTGGTCTCACTTATGCTGTCATTAATCCAGGGTAACTTCTTTGATTTTTGGCCTAGTATCTTCATGCCACAGGTGAGTGCATATTGACTCCTTTTAGAAGGCTGAATGGGATGTGTGTGGCATAGCAAGTGATGCTTAGTATTACCCACAGTTCACAAACTGTAGTTTATGAAACACTGGTCATCTCCATGGAAGAGTAAAGTATCTGTAAGAGGTAGCCCAGCAAGCTCCCGTGTATAGAATATCTGTTTCTCAGATTGCCATTAAACAATTGCAGGAGACCAAGATTCAGCAGTTACTGCTGGATTTATCAGTTTATGAAGGCAACACTTGTAGTATCATTGATCTGTAGATTATAAGGCCCAAGGGTACCTTTATGATCATCAAAAAGAAAAGGAGTACTTGTGGCACCTTACAGACTAACAAATTTATTTGAGCATAAGCTTTCGTGAGCTACAGCTCACTCACGAAAGCTTATGCTCAAATAAATTTGTTAGTCTCTAAGGTGCCACAAGTACTCCTTTTCTTTTTGCGAATACAGACTAACACAGCTGCTACTCTGAAACCTGTCTTTATGATCATCAAGTCTGACCTCCTGCATAACAAAGACCCTAATTTCTCACTGAACTAAAGCATGTCTTTTTAAAAACTGGCTGATATTAATATGAATAATCCACTGCATTCCTGGATAAATTGTTCTAATATTAATTACCATTGCTGTACCTTACTTTCAGTTTGAATTTATCTTGCTTCAACTTCCTGCCATTGAATCTTATTATGCCTTTGTCTGCTAAGTTAAATAGCTCTCTGCTATCAGAAATATTCTCAATGGAGGCATTAATAGGCTATGATCAAGTTACCTATTAACCTTGTCTTTGATAATATAATCGGGTTGAGCTTCTTAAATCTCTCATGGTAAGGCAGGCTTTCTAGACCTGGAATAATTCTTGGGGTAACTTTTTTTTTTTTCAACTCTTTCCAATTTTTCAACATCTTTTTATAAAATGTGGAGACCAGACATGACATGATATTCCAGAAATGATCTCACCAAATATAGACATAATACCACCTTCCTGCTATGACTCTACATCCTCTGTGTACACCCTCATAGCCATACCAGATCGTGTTCAGTTGGTTATTCACTATGACCTATAGGTCCTTTCCGGAGTCACTGTTTTGGATGATACAATCCGTCATCCTGGAAATATGACTTACAGTCTTGGTTCTTGGATGCATGACCTTGCATTTGTTCATATTAAAATGCATGTTGCTTGTTTCAGGGAGTAGACACAGGCTTATATCACTTTATATAAAGACAAATAACAACTTATTACAACCTTAAATGAAGCAGGGGGTTGTGTGGCAACAGTAACTACTGTCTGAAAAGATTTCAGAGTAGGAGCCATGTTAGTCTGTATCCGCAAAAAGAAAAGGAGTACTTGTGGCACCTTAGAGACTAATAAATTTGTTAGTCTCTAAGGTGCCAACAAGTACTTCTTTTCTTTTTGTCTGAAAAGAGTGGGTTTACAAGAAATAAGAGGCCCAAGCGAAAATGGCAAACTCAAGGACATCTCTTGACCCTGTTTAGCCTACAGAATGAGTCCCTTTCCTTGCTCATTATCCCTCATAAAGTTAATGACCCAACCCACATCTCCTCCACCATCTTTGAGGAGGGTTTTCCTAGCACAGAGGAATTAATCCAACTCCAAGCTGCAGTTTTTTCATAAGGGGCTGGGGGCGGGTAGGGAACAGAGTCAAGTATTCATCTTTACACATCCACAGGATCCTACTGTTGGACAGATGATCTCACCCATTGCAACAGGCAGTAGTCAGACATGTTCATATGGCTGGGAACCTTGCCACAAAATGAGAACACTGTGAATGTAGTATTGTTACATAGCCTAGAAAAGGAAAAGCTAAATTTAGTCTTCAAAAAGCTAAATTGCTGGCTTATTGGTCTTTAAAAAGATATTATTAATGCCTACCCTTTAGGAGTGCTGACCTCTGCAAGATGGGGAAACACTAGAGGCTTGTTCTGGTAACAGATGCACAATAGTTACACCACACTCATATTAGTGGGACAGTGGTTGTAAGGCCGTTCACCATTCATACCACCAAAGGAAAGCCATAGAATATTTTGTTGCAAAATACAAAAGCGTTTTAGAGTAGGGTAAATGCATCAATTCGCTGCAATGACATCGCTACTTAAAAAGAAAAGGAGTACTTGTGGCACCGTAGAGACTAACAAGTTTATTTGAGCATAAGCTTTCGTGAGCTACAGCTATGCTCAGATAAATTTATTAGTCTCTAAGGTACCACAAGTATTCCTTTTCTTTTTGTGGATACAGACTTTAACACAGCTGCTACTCTGAAACCTGTCATCGCTACATAGTTTATTATAAAACAATTGGTATTTTCTTAAAGAACTACATACAAATGTCATCATCATCATAAGTAAATCTTCACAGAGTATGAAGCAAATAAAAATCTAATTCTTAAACCTGCCACCGCATTAGAACTGGCCAAATGAAGGGGAGAAATATAATATTATAAAAAAATGTGAAATTGATTAAATGGATATAAAACTCAATTTCTTCAATCAGATCTCTAAGATGAATGAATAATGGAAGATAAAATTAATCAAATGTTTCATATGAAGATAAATTATTCGATAAGTTCTACTTTAACTTGCAAAATATCATTCAACCAGCCCCTTTGCATATTTTACATACATCCTTTTCTCCCCATCCCCCCTCCACAAAAAACCCCTGGGGCTTTACATCTGACTGGTCTCTGACAGTTCTGAATGCCCTTGGAAAAGGATAAATGAATGCTACAATTCCTTTTTTGTATCACCTACTTGCTGAAAATGCTGAGCTATTGAAGTAGAGTGAAAAATCAGAGGCTGAGCATAACTTGTTCACTTGTCTGTTACTTAAGCATGCCCCCCAACTTTTTCCTGTTTGTTTTATCCACCTGTTGCATCTTGTAGTAACTAGACTGTGGGCTCTTTGGGACAGGGACCATGTTTCGCTGTGTATGTGTACAGAGCCTAGCACAATAGGGCCCCAATCCTTGATTGCTCCTGTAATACAAACAATAAAAGAAAATAATTTCCCATTCTTATCGGTTAGCATCTACACACACACACTGCAGAGTGAAATTTAAACTTGTGCAGAACTTACCCCAAGATATTGGCCATCAATAAAGACAACAGGTAGTGATGGGATTTCACACACCCTCCTGCATCTTTCTTCTAGTTCTTTTCCATAATCGCTGTTCAGAGCAATGTTTTTTTCTTCAAATTTCACTCTGTGATTTTGGAAGATCTTTCTTACTAGCTCGCATCTTTCAAACGTGGTTCTCACCACACGAAGGCTAGTAGTGTAAATTACGATGCGACCAAATTCTAGAACTGTAGACACCTGGAAAACGAAATGTTTTTATTGTTCACTCCAGTAAATAAAATGTTAGTAGTTACATTTATTTCATGGCTGTACCAGTACCTTTCAGTGATTATTCTGTTCTTTTGAAATATTATTTAAGCAGTAAGCACATCTTAACCTCTTTTCCAAAATTGTTGTTTTGTTTTTCTCTCCTCAAACATAAGTATGGAAGAGGATGAGGTGTGATCTTGGATTAAGCTGTCATAATTGCCATGCAGGGGCCCAATTAAGAGGACTTATGGTGGCTTTGCAAGCAGCTTTGAACAGTGATGAATCAGCCCCACTTGTTCCAGTCTCTAAAACAATGGTTCCCAAACTTGTTCCGCCGCTTGTTCAGGGAAAGCCGGGCCGGGCCGGTTTGTTTATCTGCCACATCCGCAGGTTCAGCCGATCGTGGCTCCCACTGGCTGCAGTTCGCTGCTCCAGGCCAATGGGAGCTGCTGGAAGCGGCGCGGGCCGACTGACGTACTGGCCGCCGCTTCCAGCAGCCCCATTGGCCTGGAGCAGCGAACTACAGCCACTGGGAGCCACGATTGGCCAAATCTGCGGATGCGGCAGGTAAACAAACCAGCCCGGCTCGGCAGGGGCTTTCCTTGCACAAGCAGCTGAACAAGTTTGGGAACCACTGCTCTAAAAGCACAAATACACAGTTATCCAGCTGTGACCTTCATCTAGGTATGTGATTAATCCACTTTTTGGGGATTTGCCAGATCCTGTATCAAATACTGTTTTGTTTTTCCCCTATCAGTTGGGGATTAGGGACCCATATAGCCAATGATATCTTGATCTCACATTACAGTACGGGGTCGTACATTATATCTTGATCTCACATAATAGCATAGGGGCAGTCAATAGGCAGATTGCAGGCCAAATCTGGACTACCAGACGCTTTTGAACAGACCCCCAAATATTTTTATTTACTTGTTTTCATTTAGTATTATCATTATTTTCTCTGGAGTCTGGACTTCGACTATACCTTGACCAAGAAATTTAGACCTTGACAAAAAATAAATGATTACCCCTGCTAGAGCCCTTGCTATCATGATTCCTCATGAAAAGCCAATGCTACTGCTAGGAAAAAAGGATGCAAGAGAAAGGCAGACAATTTTGTCTGTCTAACTGAAAAGGACTGGCATCTCTTGAGAGGCAGCTCAGTACTTCCTGGTCTTTGCTGGGGATTCAACCAACAGTTTTCCCTTTTAAAATGGTAAATTTATAATAAGGGTCAGATCCAAAGCCTATTGTAGTCAATAGAGGTTGAAAGAGAGAGAGTGTGAGAGAGAGTCTCCCCTCTTTAAAAAAGTAGCTTGCATTATAATAATGTCAAAGAACCATTGTTGTAGATCAAAGAGATATTAAGTTCAGACAAAAACTGGATAAATAGTAGAACTCCTAGGTTATTAACTAAAGCAAAGTGAGCTTCCAAGCCTTTTGAGTTACCCATTGCAAGAGCCAACATGAGAGGGTTTCATTATTTTGGCAATGTTACAGAAATAAAGCCACAAGTTAGGAAACACTACAGAACAAAGACTTACATTATACTGCAGCAATTTGTAGAAAATGATTCTTGAAGTGTGATTGTTCATTTTTGAATTGTGTAAACTAACTACAGGGGTAAAATTGCAGTCAGACTAGGACAAACACCACTGGAAGTGACTGAAATGTCACTGGCAGCAAATTTATTTTACTTAGATTTTTAAAGGATTTAATTTGTAGTTAAGGAAAGTCCCCAAGAAGAACTTTCAGGTCTTCCAAATCACCAAAGGGATGCTTCAAAAATATGGAATTTACCAATTTCCTACCCACCATCCCAGGAAATCATCCCATAAAGGATCCAAAGGTTCTTTCTCGCTGGTTATACTTCTTGGCTCTTCTGTTTGTAGGAAAAGTTAGTGTAAAATTGACCCATTACTCATTGGTCTGTATTTTATCCCGAGAATCTACTATACATCTGCTGAGGCAATTAACTCTTCCTTAGCATTTTTCACATCTCCTGAATGAGAGGAATAGCTTATCCCTTATTAAACCATTCAATATTCTACAGTAATGGTGCAAAACATTGCAATAAGCCTCATCTGTCACCTTTGTCTTATAAATTATATTCTCCTCCTTTCTGGTTATTATACTATTCCTAGCATCTAAAATGCCCATCACTATAGTATCTCAGTACACAAAGTAATACTTTTTCAGCATTGTTCACACAAACATCTCAGATCTCTTTATGAACATTAATTTATTCTTGTAATGCCCATGTGTGGTAGTATGGTACCATTATTCCTATTTCACAAATGAGAAAATTGAGGCACAAAGTGATTAAGAAACTTTCCTAAAGTCACACAGGAAGGCTGGAGTACAACCAAGACTAGAATTGGTAATGTGGCTTAGTTGTATTCTTTAATCATAAGACTCTCTGTAGCGGGGTGGTTACCCGCTCCAGCCCTGGAAAGGGTTAAAGCCAGCCCTGGGAGAGGGCTGGGGCTGTGAGAAGCAGTTAGGCTGATGGGGAAGGCAGCCACAGCTGGGGCCACGCCCCAATCAGGTTGCAGCTGGCCCTACAAAAGGCCAGTGAGCCAGGTGTTTAAGATTCTTTCTCTAGCTTTTCTAAGGGAAGGACTTGCCTTTCTGGGAGCTGAGCAGGGACCTGAGGTAGGGCAGTGCTGGGGGAAAGGCAAGAGGGACTGGGGAGCTCCAGCCTGACAACCCCCCAGGCTGCAGGGCCCAAACCAGGTTCTGGGACTGCAAAGGAGCAGCCTGGGGATAGGCAAAGGCAGCAGGTCCTACCCCCTCTTGCCAATGATGAGTGGCCATTACAGGCTACAGTTGGTCCCAGTGAGTGTGGGTTAAATGATGATTGGCAGTAGGCACTGAGGCAAGGTGGCGTTAGGGGTTCCCTGGGGAGGGGAGACCTGGAAACTGAGGGTATACTGCTGGGGCAGAACCCCCGGCCAAAGGGGCACCAGGGTCCAGCAGCAGTGATGACACTGGCCTGCAGAGGGTGCTCCGGAGCTGGAAAACAAGCTAATTCCCAGACAGCCAGCAGGAGGTGCTGCAGGGGTGAATCCTGCATAGTTACACTCTCTCAACAAAACTAAACTAAAGTGAAAGGAAAAAAATAATTGATAATATGGTTACAGATTTGTTATGGAACTAGGATTGCTGAGTAATGATCCACAATTAAACAAGATTCCTTACAGAGCAGAAGAGCTAATGCCAAAGTCCAAAAGATTTGCAAAAGTACTAAAAATAGACAATTACTTCTAAGCAAATGTATAACACGTTGCACAGTTTGGGGGGGGGAGAAACAGCTTCTTATGCACAGGACAAAAGAGTGGGGGAGTTGAGAAGTAAGCTATTTTTGAACTAATGGAAATGCTAACTCCAAAAAATTTCTTTAACAATGCTAATTCACAATTCCAGAGGCAAAAATAACTTTCATGTATACCTGACTGGAAGTGAAAGAACTTTGGTTCTCACAAATGATGTTTTCCAACATTAAACGAATAAAGTCATGCTGGATCTTGGTAGCATTGTCATAATGAACAGGAGCCAGAATCATCCTCTCTAATAAACCTGGTCAACCACTTTCCAGTGGAATTGTTTTTCCATTGGAAATTTTTTTTTTTAGCAGAATCAGAACATTCCCATGAACGTGTTGCTTCTATTGAAACTTTAGGGGGAAACCAACCAAGCAAGCCAGCTTGTGCACCTGGCTCTTTGGCAGCCTGCCTTTTGAGGGAGAGAGGAAGCCACAGCTTAGCATAGCCTGTTTTGTTCTGATTTGGAACTTTTTTTTTTTTTTAAATGCAACATTTTCTAGAAATACCAGTTACCACACAGCTCTAATTTCTAGTACTAGTGGTTCCCAGTCACAGCAGATGGGATTGAAACAAAGGGTCATTATCTGAATTAGCATCAGCACTTGAGGTGTTCTAGCAGCATACAAATCAAGAGACATGGGGAAAGTAGAGAGATGAAAGACTATTTGGAGTGATATCAAGCAGAGATTAGGCAGGTTTATGTATCTGCATTTGCTTTTATGTTTCTTTTGCCTAATGGGGTAATGAAGAACACTTGTATGTGCTGCAAAGATGTACCAAGGGCGCAAGATAAATAGGAACTCAGGACATATTAGATTTCTTCAAATGGCTTTCTAAACTAGAGACTGACTGTGCTTGGCATTGGAACATTAAGCTTTTCCTCTTTGCACTATACTGTTGCCTACTGTGGCTGCACTTGATCATTCAAAATCCTACATGTAAATATACAGAAAATGTGAAAGTGAAATTCTCTTTTCTCTGATTAGTACTAATTCCTATTTTGTTATCCAGTTTGAAGGATAGTAACCCACGATATGTACTATAGAATATAAACCTTTGCAGTAAATCGGCAGAGTTCTATTCTGAACCAATATCCCTGTAGCTTTGCTTTGCTGAGCTGTAAATGTAAGTTCTTATCTGTTAGTCTCACATGGCAGCAGAATTGTAATAAACTAATGGCAGCAAAAAATAAATTAATGGAAAAGCCGTTCAGAAAATGAACTTTCACCGTTTACTGTAATGAACCTTAGATCATTAAATATATGAATGCATTTCGTGTTTTGAGTTGGAATAAAACAGAGGGCATAGGTGACTAGTAACTGCTGATCGTAAAGAGGCACAATTTAAAGGTTATGATGGTATTGCATTGCTCCATACGTGGTGCTTGCAGCACAGCCCAAATTTAGCCCTAACAGACCTTACAAGGACACTGTGAAACTGACTATACACAAAGTGCCATCAATACATAAAATAAACTGAAAAAAAGGAGAGGAGGCACTTTCCACCCTCTTTCTCGCCCCCCCCCCTTCCCACACACCCTAAACTCTTTTGGTTTTCGTAATCTTACTTGTTAGCTTGTCACTATAGTAGGTGCAAAGTTTTCAGACAGACGTGATTTTTTTTTTCAAGTTGACATTGTGCCTTTAGCCGTGATCCTACATT